TTTTGTTAATTTTCAGTACTGAACGGAATGGTGCGGACGTGATGGTGTAGGACGGGATGATATGAGACGTCACCATTAACGAAAATCGAGTTTAATTATCTACAAAAAATATATAATTCTCTTTTATCCATTTTAAATAATTAAAATATTAGATTTTGATGACTAATTCATATTTCGATGTTAAATCTATCCTGATTATTAAAAAATAAAGGGAAAAACACACATTTCAACAAAAAAAAACAAATTATTGTATAGAAAATTCAAAGAAACAAACCATAGTTGACTATATAAAAAAAAACTAATATAGAACTCCTAAGTCCTAATTATGATGTAGTTGTGTGGGTGGCCATAGAGAGCCAATAGGTCGTAGCCAGCAAGCAGTGGCGCGTGAGCATCGAATTGCACCGAGGAAGAACCAAGCCATACTCTAGTCCAAGTTCTTGATCGCTGGTGCGGGACCCACGACAAATTATTGAAAAGTCAACTCAGCCCCCAAAATAATCGCTCCATACTTTTGACCTCTTCCTCCTTTCCTTTTTTTCTCCCTCGATTTGGACCAGTGGCATATTCGTAAATACAACTTCGATCCAACCGCTTCGATGTGTTCTTGCTTTAGTTTCAATCACTTCTGTCATTATCATCAACTTATATTAAAAACAAAAAAATCACAGTCACGATTTTTTCTCTTTATATCTGATAATTTAAAGTCATTCAATATTAAAATATCAAATCGAAGTTTATTTCAAAACCCTTATTTTTTTTTCTTCTCTTTTGCTAATTCCTTGTGTTTTTTTTCCAGTTTCAAACTATATATATATTATCTCCTTTCAAAGGAAAATTTACCATTTTTTTCTAAATACTATGGTTTGTTTTTTCATATATTTTGAGAGAAGAATATCAGTGAACCTGGACACGATTCAGGTTTGCTAAAAAAAAAATTTTGTTTTGTTGTTTTAAATTATAAAAGAAAGTGAACAATCTGGCGTTTTCAAATCTAAAAAGGGGAGGTTGTAACTGTGTCTTCTCGTGTACTTTCTTCAAATTCTTAAATCTTTCTTTCTTTTAGACTTTTTTATAAATCACTTTTCGTATAAATAAATAATTAAATCTCTGTGAAAGATCTTTGGAGGAAAAAGGCTAAAAACACACGAGATCTCGAATTTTTCTTCTTCTTTTTCCTGGTAAGTGCTAGTTTCACCTTCCAACTATCAATGGTTTACGCATCTTGTTACTTTACGCACCAATTCTTATTTTACTTTTTATCATTTATAGATCGTATCATATAAACGTGCTTACAATGTTTTTTTTTGTTGTTTTTGGTTAAGCGACATGGTATTGATTCCTTTTTCAATAGTGCTTTTTTTTGTTTGTGTGATATCAGAATAACCACCCAATTTTATAATTGACGATATACAATAATGCATAGAACAAGAAGACTATTTCAAAGGAATCGTCTAGGTGTAGGAGTTTTCGATTAGAGTGTCTCTTCGATAATAATTTAATTAACTCACTATCAATCCCAACCTGAGTTTGATTTTTGCTGGAAACACTTTTACCTTTATTTCGATTGGAAGTACTGTCATACTTTCGGCCTATTAAAAAATCCGGTGAGTGACGTACTCGACGGTTATATTCATCCTGAAATATTAGTCGGGTGGTAAAAACCTGGACAAGCTCCGATT